CGTAAACTAGTTGCCTACTGAGTGAAAGAAAATGTTTCCACTTGAATTTCTACCAAACAACTAGATGCTACATGGTGATATTTTTCATCCTCTTTTGAATCATTTAGCTTTGCACCTGAAGACTGTGGTGTAGCTTCAATCTGCAATTATAAGTTTGTCACTGAATAGAGAGGAGAATTTTTTACTTTATTGCATTGATGAGTTACTGCAAAAGAGAACTGAATTTGTCACTGTAAGGCTTATAGTGAGAACAGGGACTGTGTGACAGAAGAAGAAAATGTAATCATCTGTTTATTTCTCTCTCAGTTAATCTTTTGTAACTTGCTTTTTTTTTTTTCGGTCTGGCCAAATCCTTTTCTTTTGCTCAGATACCTTGCATGCTGAAAGCTGAGTGCAGCTTGAGAAAGGCCAGACATTTTCAGTGCCTGCTGGTTTTTGTAGGAGCAATTGGATGTTCATCTTCCTGTGTGCCTTGCTGTAGCTAGTACTGCATTGCAGCAGGGAATCAACAGTTAGAAAAGATAAAGGATCATGATCTCCGTTAACAATGTTTTCATAATGAGAAATGTAGTTTTACAAAGTAACAAAAGTTAGCTACCGTTTGAGAGAAAAGGTGAATTGTACTGTCATCCAATTTTAGTGAAACTAAAATATACGATACAGCTTGTGCTCAATAGTTATGCTGTGCACTGTTTGTGTGCTTCCACTCAAATTGAGTAGCCTAGATGCAAAATACCGTGTCAGCCTGTTATTTTCCATCAAATAAAATAATAATTTTAAAACTTTTAATTAATAAATGATAATAATAAAAATGTAATAATAACACCCCTTGTATTTCTTACACCTACATAATTTGTCAGATTGACTTTGCGTCTGCCAAGGTGAAAGCTCCAGTGAAGTCTGGGGAGCTTAGGGAAAATTCAGTCAAGCTAGAAGTAGCTTGAAGTAAGTACCATCAAAGTAAGTACCATTGAAGCTAGTACCATCGAACATAACTTTAGATTTAGGCAGGGTTGTTGCTTGAATGAATATGGAATGAACCTGCTGAGCCACGGTGTGAACTCTTTAGGAAGAGGAGCATAGAGACATCAAAGGCAGTTTACTTGGGAACTTTCTAAATACACCATCATGTTGCCTCCATTAAATAAACATTGTTTCTGTGCCATGTGGCAGTGTCTTTGCCATGGAAGGTTCTGATCCCTTGAATAGGTCCAAGGTCTTTTTCCATAAAGAGGCCTAATGGGGAGGAAGCGTGCTCCTGGTGTGAAGGCTGTTTTGTCCGTATGCTGATTTATGCTGATTGGTATGTTTAAAAGCCTTGGCTAGTGAATTCAACAGCAGTAGTCTGGGCAGGAACTGGTTGGCAACTGCATTCATAGCCGCTGGTTAAACTCTCTTGTAAACTGACACGGCTGTACGCTATGAATGTGTCCCAGAGCCATCCAAGCTCTGACGTGTTCCTGGGGCTGAATTTCCCTTCTTCTCCTTCTCCCATCCTCCACAGACACACATACACAAGAAAACAACCACAAACTGTGAATGAGATGTTTCTGAGAGTAAAGGCAATGAAAAATGCATTGGTTTGCCTGTGTCAGCCGCTGGACATGTTTCCAGTGAGAGCCCGTGTACCCTGGCTTTACAGTGGGGAGAGGGTACGTGCTGTGTAAGAGCATGCCCCTTGCTGTCCTGGCTCTGGGCAAGCTCAGAGTTCATGACAATTTGCTTTTCACACAAGCTCGGTAGTCACTTGATCCTACTGACAGTCCAATTCTCTAACCAAGGAGTATTTATCCAGAATTATTTAAATGTATAATAGTTAAGGGAAGCTTATAAGATGCTCTAAGTATTCCAACACAAACAGACTTCTAATACTTTCAGAAGAAAACTACAGGAGTTTTTAGATTTTTCTTGTAGCAGCTGGAAGTTTTGGATGGTTGGGCAGAACCCAAGCCCATCTGCTAAAAAAAATTGCTTTTTGTTCCCAAGGTCTTGAAATTATGCTGGAACAAGGAAACCCAAATGAAATGCATAGCATTCTGAAATTAGATGAGCAGTTTTAATTAAAAACAAATTAGTTAGTCCTTCCAGGGAAGGCCAGGCAATGTGAATATGCCACTTTTCTGTGCAATGTCAGTGAGTCTTAAGTTGAAAATCCTCCTACAGCTAACGTCTTTTTGCCACCAAAGGAAAGGACAGTTCTCACAAGCAAAGCAAAACACATTCTAATGAAATGAGTTTGCTGGGTAGAACTATTCCAGAATTACTAGGCAGATGATGTTGTGATTAGGTCTCATTATCCAGAGTGACTGTTTCTTGAGAAACTTGCTTTATGGGTGCAGTTAGTTCATGGCATGTTGTCTTACTGAATCACTCAGGTCTGCTAGTGCTCTATTAGGAGAAAAAGAGCTAATTGTGTTGGTCAGAAGCTGAGAGAAGTAATTGAAGAACTTCCATTTTCACTTTTCTGTACCTTCTGTTTTCTTTTGCTGCTTCCAGTCACCTGTGATACTAGTATATGGTAATAAACCTGATAACATTTGATGGAGCTTTATAAGTTCTCTGTCCTCAGCTTTTGTCTTCAACCTGGTGAAAGCTGGGTACTCATGAAGTGGGAAAGATTTTATAATAATGCAGCAGATTTTTGCCACCAAATATAATTTTTCTAGAAAGACAGTTATGTATGCAAACCCACATGTTGAATCAGTGTTTACATTTTGGAAAGGTCATAGAATTTGAAGCCTTAATCTGAAAAAGCATCTTCTAATGGTAGGGTCTTCTCTAGGGACTTTGCTGTGCCTCATTTATTGTGCTTGGAATGAGTATCATATCGTGCTGTTGGACGGCAGTGTGAATATCTAAGATGGAAAGAAAGCCGCAAGACCTGGAACACAGTAATCTTTTAGAAATGCATAGAAGCATATGGCAGATTTTTTTATCGTAGTAACTCAGTGATTTTGGCATCCAGTATTCCCAGAGCTCCTCTTGGGGAATATTCACACCACCTTGTTTTAGGGTTGCAACCAATATAACCAGATTGGAATGCTGATCTCTGTAGGCTTGCTGTATAGACTGTCTGTACCCCTCTCATAGAGAGGCAGAGGAAGAGCAGCTGCTTCAGGGAGCTATTTAATGCATCTCAGCTTACGCTTCTGTTCCATGCCACATCCTGGGCTTGCCTCATTGCCCTCCTTTCCCTATCATCTGTCAAGGCAGCTGAGGGCTTCTTTTTGAATGAGGAGCCCCGTCTGTGGACTTGAAATGGCATACCTTGTGTTATTAGGTGTTAGGAACACTGTGTTTTGGCTTCGCTCTGCAATGCAACAGTTGGGGATAAGAGATAAAAAACATACATTAATTCATTGTAAAGAAAAGTTTCTCTGAAACTGCTAAGGACCCCAGAAATTTGGTAGTTTTAGAAGAGATTAATAGGAAGACTAGGTGGATGAATACAAATCTAAAGATATATGAAAAATACAGTTTTCATCACCAGAGAATGATTATTATATAGGTCTCTTCACTTTGCATGTGGAGACTTGAGTGTTCTTTAATTTTCTAAAAGTAATTTTTCAATAATTGTCAGTGCAGTTACAAGAGAGATGAAAATACAAATAACAAGCTAGCATTGTATTAGAAAACCCAAACAAACAGGAAACGTAAACTTTCATTTTTATTATGGAATTTTGTGTTATTCTTACCTTTTTAAAATGTCAGCTCAAAGCAATTTTCATGTATCCAAAAAGCCATAAAAACCCAATTTTGCAATAAAGTTCAGTTTTTCACTTCTTCCTGGTTCAGGTAAAGCAGTCTTAACTCCATTTTATATATTCATTGACTTTGTTTTTTCAGTAATGATTCTGTGTCATGAAATACAGATAAACCTGAAGGGGTGGGGGAAGGGGATGTGTGTGTGTGTCTATGCTTGAAGGTAATATCTCTGGAAGGTCATGTTGGTCATGTTGGTACTATATATTTTGTTACCTTTTATATTTAATTCTGATTTGTTTATTCATTCTGAGACATTGTTGAGTAAAATAAGCTGTCTGTATAAAAGCCTGATCCAAAGATTGGTTAGCTTTCATCTTTTGAGTCTGAGAGCAGTTAAACTGGTTCTTAATTGGTTTTGGAGGTACCCACAGTTTTGGGACCAGAAGAATGTCCTAATCCCTGAATTTGCTGACAAAACAAGCATTTGGAAACCTGAACCAAGAAATCAGTGTCAGCCGCTGAAAGGAGACTTCACAGAAAACACTGAAACTCTCAAAAATCACTTGCTTACACAAATCTGAGAGAATGATGGGGAAAAAAAATCACAGCTTCCCTGCTGCTGAGAAAAGGGTGTTCAGGGAGTGAGAGATGAGGAGATACACAGTACCCATTTGACAGTCCCAGCCTTTCTAGAAACTTTTTTATTTCTGTCTTGCTGCGAAGAGGCTGCCAAGGATGACAGGTTTAAGAATTAACCACTTCACGATGGGGTATTTATTGTAATCTTCATGCCTGCAAGAGTAAATCATGCTTGGCAGCAGCAGAACATAAGAAACTCAGTCCAAAGTCAATTAGCATGTTTTATTAGTATAGAATGAACTTCAGAGTTAATGGGAGTTACCCGTCATGGTTAAGGGATTGATTTTCATCTGTCCTGAACATCTGCACGTTCAGCGGAAATTAGTGGGGTTTGGGAACACTGAATGTCTTTGCAGAAGGTGTGGGCAGAGAGGGGATTGGAGCTGGCCGTGTGCTCCCTGCATGCCCGAGTTTCCCTCTTGTTCTTCCCTGGTCTGATGCTGTGTCTGTTCAAGGTTGTCACAAAAATCGGATTTTGTACTGTGCTGCTGACTGAGGCCTTCCCCCTTCCTCCTTCATTCCCTATGCCTTGTCGATTCAGCAATGCAATTTAATATGTACTTTAAAAATGCAGTGCTTTAAATTCTAGGTTGATATGCAAATGGTTAGCAATGTTATGCTTATTGTGACATTTTGTTTCCTCTTTTTCTTCCTAGTGTAAAACTCTCTCTGGCGTCTGTGATCACATTATCTCCCTTTCTTCTGATCCACTGGTTTCCCAGTCTGCTCACCTTGAAGTGATCCAGCTTACAAACATCAAGCCAAGTGAAGGGCTGGTAAGAAGTACGCAGTTAATCAAACCCATCATCCAGGATGAGAAACTGATTTTTTAAAAATAAGTTGTATATATGGAAAGGAATAGGACATTGTAGCCTTTTTTTATTTTAAAGTCTGAAAATGGTTCGATTTCTCATCCTAGTCTGATTTCTCATGCAGCTGGGCCAACAGGGAAGTACTTTGTAAAGCTCACTGATGTATGCAAAAAGTTTAGTGAACAGGGAGAAATGAGCAAGAAGTTCTTGCCATTTATACCAGCTTCTGAAAAATGGTTCAGATTGTTCTAGGATCTTGAAGTCTGAAGGGATTTAAATTACAAAGATCAACTCAACCAAGAAGTTTGCGTGGGCTTATGCACAAAACCTGTCAAATTCTGGAATATGCTTCGTAGTATCTCTGGGATATAAAGCTATTTTGTAAGTTATTCAAGGGCTCTACAGCACTACTGAGAAGTAGCTTATTGAATTTTATTGCAAAAACTCTGCATACTTAATCAGGTGCTTTCAGAGGCTCAGTGCAGCCGTCCTGTGTTTGTTGTTCAAGAATTGACCATTGGTCTTTTGTTTATGCAAGTATCCCACACCCACTGCGTGGAAAAAAGCAACCCTGATAACAATTACAGCTCTACAACTTTACATCACTAAGAATATCTCTTCCCACAATCCTAGGAGGTAGTAGAAGGTGATCAGAATACAGTTAACCACTTTTTGCCTAATGAAACAGATTTTACAACTTCTGACCAAGTTTATTCTCGTTCCATTTTCTTGAATAAGAAGGACTACTGCTGTGCTCTTTGCAGCAGGTTTCTGAAGTTGTTTGGATGGTGTAGTTTTGGAGACTATTTTGGTTTGTGGGTTGGCTGTTGTTGGGTTTGGGTTTTGCTTTGGTTTGGTTTTTTGACATATTTGGTA